TATGGCGTTATGTGTCCTGTTGCGCCACCGTCGCTCCGGACCGTGACGCGTCGTCGGCCTCTGCCGCTGATTCGCCAGAGTTGTCTCGTCAGCGCAGCCATTACGACCTCTCGGAGCCCTCGGCCGACTTCTTGGTCTCTGAAGTGCTGCGATCAAGGCGGTTCTGTCACCTCGCGGACAACCAGTCCCTTGCACAAGTTCAAACCTCTTTCATGCTGCATTGTGCACACTCTAGCCCCCGCAACGACTATGCGGCTTGGTTCTACCTACGTGAAGCGATAACTATACTACAGACGCTTAGGTACCATGAAGAAGCCACTTACGAGGAGGCGACCAACCTGTCTGTTGCGAGGGAAGCTAGACGGGCATTTTGGGTCCTCTTCGTCACGGAACGTGCTTTCGCGATTCAGCGACATAAGACCCTGGCCTTGCATTCCACAATTAACCTACCTCGCTTCGATCCACTCCTTGCGGACTCTAAAATCCTGCATGGCTTTCTTGATCTGATCTCCCTCTTCCGGCTTTTCGATGCCGAATTCATTACAGCGTGGAACTCTTATACGGAACGTCAGACGGTTAAGCCGGCGAAACCCAGATCATGAGCAGCTGTGCCAGCTGCAGGGAGCCCTGTCAAACTGCCTCGCCGATGTGTCCGCCTACCCCGAGTCGCAGCAAGCCGAGCTTTTCGTCACATGCGGGTGGCTTAAGACTGTTGTGTGGCAGCTGTGCTTGTCAGCGACGACGCTGACGAGCACGAATTATTGCGATAGTATGTCGCTAGGCTATCCCTTAAGCATAGCCCGAGACATTGTCCTTGTCCTCCAACTCTCACCCCAGAGGACCTTTGCTACAAACAGGGTTAGCATGTTGGAGAAGTTGTCCCAGGTTGGAAGTTCACTAGCAGATGTGCTTTCATTGAACGCACCTACTGTTCTCCGGCCATTGACGCTTGATGCTTCTATGGACACTCTGATGGAGATTTTGAAGATCGCGAGCGAGATGCTCCGAGCCAGTTGTGAGTCCCCCACCCCCCGAAACAAGCTCAGTTAAAGAGTTATATACTAGAGAAGGATAATTAAAAGATGGTTGTCGTCCAGGTGTAAGAGGCGTTTCGATAGGGACATCAGAAGTGTTTCTTGTAAAGGCATGCTTCTGAAATTAGCATCCCTATCTTTACCCTATCTTAGAACTTCGTGTACCTAGCTTGCTCACCTCTTCCTTCTACTAAGCGCTCGCTTGCCCCCTCATTGTCGTTCCATTCCTAGTGGGTGGGGTCGTTGAAAAGGTTCAGGGCGCACCGCAAACCTAGCTTAGAATGGGGGCGCAACGTGCGGATGGATAGATCCAAGTGTGGAGTAAGGTTTGGGATGCTTGGAGACTAACCGGCGCGGAACTACTTCATGGCAGGCTAGCGACTGTGTCCGTGACTGCCGGCGGCAAGTACTACACATGGGCTACACTTCACTCGCGTTACTTTGCCTTCTAATAGGTGGGCATAATATAATGAGTTGGGAGTTACATGCCCGTCTTAATATGTCGCTGGTCACCACTGGGTGGACACTGTTTAGTCTCCTTTTGCTGTGGGTATCACATAAAGTTAGCTATCATCATGGTGGAGAGTGCAGGGGACGGACGTGCCTGCCTACTAGGGCGCTATGCTGTCCGCTTGCAAGTTGCAGATGCCCCTGAGGTGAACTCTAGGTCTAAGAGTTCGTCCTAGACTTTAAGACAGGATCCGAACTGGGATCGATGTAACTGAGTATTACACTAATAAAGATTTGTCCTAAGATGGTCTAAGGGACTAAGGCGGGAAAGGCATACCGACATAGATGTATGTGCTGATTTTGCTACGGACGCGAGCCTATAGATGATGAACTAATTTAATCGTATGCGGTAGTACGGCATCTCTTTAGATGGCTTGTTTTGTGACTAGCTGTGTGTTTGTTTGTCTATGTATACTTAAGTAGGTATGTATGTGAAGCTGGAGGGCGGGAAATGCCCGATAACGACCCACGCTTAGCGCTCCATCCTGGGCAGGCTGGGTCAGTTTCCTCACCAAATCAACCTATTACTCTCCTCTGCACAGAAACTCGCCGCTCAACGCATCGAATTCCGCCTAAAGGGCCTTGGGAATGCCGCCCTGGGCGCTATCCTACGTGGCGTTAAAGGCTTGGCGGACCCAGGGCGGTGCGGGAGCATCGACACTGTAGTAGGAGTTGCAGTGTACCTAGGTCGGTGTGAACACAACACCCCTCAAACTAGAGAACTTACAGTAGCAGAAGCCAGATACAGTTGTATGCTCAGTATGTGACCGTTATGCTAGACTCTAGTAGTAACTCGCCTTACTTTTGTAGTAAAGCCCGTGGGGAGGGAACGGTGTCTACGCCGGATGCTGATACAGAAGGAATGATGGTGATGATAGGTGTGGCGTGTGTTATGGTCCATGGAGGGACGAGATAGTGAAGTGTATAGGAGTTTGTCTTGGCTAGAATGAAGCATGGCCAAGGCGGCTTGAGGTTCTATTTAGGGTTTAAGTCCGAGGGTGCAGTTCAGGAGGTAGGTTGACAGCTGCAGGTGAGCACCTGTCGCCGAAAAATGGGTTGAGTATGGATCGGACTGTTGGATACGTGTGTACATGAGGATAACTGTTCGTACGTACGTTAAAATTGATTTCAACACCACGACATACGCAGCTCCCTACTGTATGGTATGATGTTGGCACTGAACCCTCTACCTAGAAGGCTCTAGACGCACAAAATGTGGGCTGCTATAGGCCGGCAGACGTAAGACTGGAACGACGAGGGTACATGGCGATAGCTGTAGATCATAATACATTGACAAAGAACGGTTTCACTTATGAAACAAGGCGGCCTCTAAGGGGGCCTATCGTCGAGGATGCTCTTCAGCCGACGAGATCGGGCGGGAGGGAGTTCTGTTCATTGTTCAGGGTAGGGGCGGTCACTTCCCTATTTAGAGCCACGACCTCGCAGCTCAAGCAGTTTCCAGGAGAGTGGAACGGCTAACAGGCGACGTAGAATGCTGGGAACAGCTGGGCCCCCTACCATTGTCCTACGTATTTCAGATTAGTTCGGTTGTGTAAAGCCTGTTGTGGAAGGCAGGCAGGATCGGTCCGCCCTGCTTTGATCTGCACCTGCCGTCTGAGGTAAAAGGGTGAATACATAACGCTGGAAGGCCGGATCTCGTCGTCCCAACGACACTACAACTACCGGAATAGGAAACATGGAGCGGGACCACCCAAGACCCAAAGGTTGTCTTCAGGCCTGGCGATGATTCCTGCCACCTGCGTTGTGCACTGGCTCACTGACATAGTCTGTAGGGCGAAGGGCGGTCCAAGATACCGAAATGGATAGAATTTGTGACTAACGTTTACAATCATCATATAGCCTCAAACCAAGGAATCCTTCAATCTGTTGTTAGTATCAGTAAGGTATCATCATCATGTCTCTAACGCTGCTGCTGGGCACGAGAACGACGCGAGGGTACCCACGCTCGACCGAAGAACGCTATAGTATCTGGATCATTTGTCGCAGTGAAGCCGGAATTGAAATAGTCAGCAATGACGTGCAGAAGAGCCTCCGTTCTAGAACGCGGGTGCTAATATATAACGAGCTCTGCTCTATAAACGTTGACGATATGAGTCGAACCGAGGTACTTGATGACAATGAAAATACTAGGGCTGAAACGACGGCGACGCCCATTTGAGATAGCGAAGTAACAGTCAGTAAGGTTCACATCCGCTGGACAGCTGGCTATCCATTCGGGGACAGATGAGGGCACAATAGTTCCCGGATTCTACAACTCGGTGGATGCGGTGGGCTGTACGCTGCGTGTCTCTGTGCCGTGCTACCTACTACTTATCCCCGATACCTCTGTCCCGCGGCTCGACTTGCAGCCCTCCCTCCTTCTAAGAACGTAGCTGGCAAGGATTTCAATCGAGGAGCTTTAAGAGACTCCAGGTTACGGGGCGCCTATTTCGGCTGCTGATGATATGACCTAGTGCGACCCAGCATGCCACCACCTCGGTCTTTTTACGGCCGGCATGCTCCTCCGCTTCGCGAGACCACTGCTGATCTAGAATTTGCTGACTACTGGCTTGGTAGATGTTCTGCGGAGCATCAATGAACCCGTAGGGATACTCGCCTCCCTCGGCGCGGACCCGCATTGAGGGTGGGCCGCGAGCGAGCGTGGGGAACGACGCTGATTTGTTTATGCGTGAACGTTGGGAACGGCCGTGGCAATCTTATATCGACTTTCTTGCCGGGCTTCCGTGGCACGGTGATCCCTTTGTCCGCCATGAACTGCCTGCACCCCCACGTTAGGCGACCCTCTTGGTTGACGACTTCACCGCCACCGCAAGGGTTTTGAGCTGTTTAATGAGCCCGTTAGCACGACGTCACCCATATAACATACATACAGCAGGATAGGCACAAACTCACGGCCTATAACGCCTGTCTGGCCCCCTTTACCGTAGGCAACAACGCGGATGGAGCGCGGGTGATTGTGGGCTCGCTGGGAGGTATCGCTGTCTAAATAGTACTTGGGAGGCGTTAGATAGAGGAGTTGGTAATTAGCGCCTTGGTCTATGGGAAGGACCTGGCAGCAGAAGGGGCAGGACTTACCTGGTGAACAGCGAAAATCTCCGCACAGCCGGCCTCGGTTCGATGCTTCTTGTTTACTGGGACCTTCTTTTGGCTCTGTAGTCTGGCTTGGCACCGGTCAAGGGCAGCGACGACTCGTGGTTTGGAATGCTGGGGTGCGAGGCTGTACAGAGAAGGGCCGCTTCCCTTCAAACTGGACGAGATGAAGACGTCCTTCTCGACGGCCATAACGGCCATCATAGCGGGCTGCTCCTGTGGCCCAACGCGATCAGCATTAAACTTGGTCTGCATTTGGCTATAAGCCAAGTGAGCAAGCTCATAGAGTTGGTCATTGCTAAAGAGCGTTACAGTATCTTGGGTGAAGGTGAGCTTAGAGGAGTAAACGATTTGTTGTGCTTTGTCTCGGGCATGTGTGTCAAGGTTCAGGCCGAGATCCTGAGCTGCGATACTCTGGAGGAGAGCAAAGAGCACAAGTATACTGGACAGCCTAACCGCCCAGCCCCAAGATGCAAGAGTCCACATTTCGAAAGACGACTGGTAGTAGGTAGACAGCAGTTTAAGAAACCCGCTGTGTCGCTTACCGGGGAGCGGGCGGTTTAGGAATACGTCGGTGCAAAGCAGGATGGAAGCCGTGCGCAATAAGTAGCCATGTCCGGTCGAAGAGGCTGAAAATCTCTCGGTGGCTATTCCCGAGACTGCGAAAAGATCCCGCGCGGCAGAGCCGAGAGGGCCACCCCAATCGCGCGGTAGCACAAAAGACGGGTCCAACCCGCCCTCCGGCTTGAGCAGTCACTTGCTCTGTAGGTGTGGATACTAACAGCGATACGGACCTGACGGCCTGGGCGCTCAGGCCGCATGGAGAATGCTGGTCAACATCCATGGCCAATGACACGTAGTTAATTTACTCGTCCACGTTACCGGCTATGACTTAACGGGCGTCGCTGAGGCCGCGGATGGTATAGCAGGCAGGCAAAGTTTCAGAAGGTCTCTCAGGATGCGGTCTGGTGCCTTGCAGATCGCTTTCCGCAGGCCGGGAGCGGGCCAAGGGCAGACTACCTTGCTAGGAGAACGACGTTGCTAACGAGATCTTCGTTCATAAACCAGTTCTCTGTATCCGGCCATCTAGACAAACGTTTCCTGTTACCGTAAAGGTCTAGATCCAAGGTTAAGGTAGGGTGTGCGCAACCGCTAGGGTTCCCCGTTAAGTGAGGATCGGTAGCAGTTGATAACGAATGTTCGACCTCTACTGTGAAGAGCGAGGCAATCGGGTGTCATTGCTGCGAGATGGTAGCGAAGCCATAGAAAGAGAAAGTGCAGGGGTGTTACAACGGCCGGTGGGAGAGAGGATGCGAAAGCAGCTGTTGGGCTCTGCGGTTGAAGGCGATTGGCCTTGTCGGGATGGTCACTGGTCTAGGTTGATGGTTTCTAGGT